GGAGGAGGGAGGGTAGGGGTAGAAGAGCTGTAAAACCTCCAGGATGAAGGTGGGAACCATGATGAGAGGCAAATGGACAGACAGGGATGATGAGGAAGGAAGGAGGCGAGGTGTGAGGAGACGGAGGACAGCGTCCTGAACCTCCCAGGAAGCCCCTCGCCAGATTCGAAAGTCGCCGAAGATGTCCTCCGTCAACACATCTCGTAAAGCCTCCGCTTCTTCCCCATCCCGAAAAGGAGGAGGCGAAGGAAGAGAGATGCAGTCGATGAGCTCCTGCAGTGCCCTCACGAGGGGAAGGGAGAGGTAGGAAGGAGGGAGCCGGGCGAGGAGGTGGGCCGTGAACAGGCTGCCGTTGCCTCCCGGAGTTTTGAGGGAGATGAATCCGAGGCCGCCCCGATCCTCCTGAGGGGGATGGAGATGCACCCTCCGCTTTGCTCGGTGGGGGAGGAAAAAAGTCCGACTGCTCGGGCTTTTCTGAGAACGGCTTGCCCGGACCAAAGCGCTCATCATCTCCACCACCAGAACCACCGCCCCTGCGGCCTCTGCCTGGCAACTCTCTCTCCCAACCCCTTCTGCGTCCGTAGCATAGCTGCGACTATTGCCAGGATCAAGGCGCTTGCTCTGCTTGTTTTTACGATGGTCCTTGCGGTGATTGCTCCCCCTTTGACCGGTGCCACCGGCGTCCGTCGCCCTCCCGGCCTGCCCTGAAAATGCCAGCAAGGCAAGGAGCGGCAGGATCACCTTCACTCCACCCATGCTTTCTAGAAGCTTCAGTGCCCAGCCTCGCTGACAAACGCGCGTCCCTTCCCCCCAAAACGCGGACGGAAGCTTGCGCTCCCCCCGGCCCGCTCCTCTCCGAGACCGGGCAAGTGTCAACATCCCCTCCACCAAGGCTCTTTCCCTGCGCCAGTTCCGCACTCTGTGCCGATACCCGGATGTTGAAGTTGAAGCCGAGGTCGGTCGTCGGCCTTTGTCACCGGTACGGGACGAAGGAAGGGAGG